AATTTATTAAATTTATTAATTGAATGGGCTTAGGATTCACTTGGGATAGCTGCAGCTTTTTATAATGGTGGTTATAAAGCTGCTAGAGCTGCAAGCAAACAAAGCGTTCGACGAGCTACTCGATGCTCCGTTTGATTAAAGCTCGTTTGTGATTGTTTAACTAACTAAACAAACAAACTTGAACAACATTTTAAATACTCGATCCTTAAATAAGCAAGCTTGAACACTAATGTGTTCGGTTCATTTATGTTCACGAACAATATCATTTGAAGTTCGTGAACAAGCTCGACATTAAGCTCGATAAAAAGCTCGAATGGAGAGAAATGCAAACGGTAAGCTTCATTTAAGAATATATTCATATAGATTAATCATATTTTTATTTTAAATAGACAACTGCTTTTATTATAAATTTAATTTTATGAACAAAAGACATTTCAATTATCTAGGTTTGTTAGATTGTTTGTTTAAGATATTCATGAACAAATTTAATGTTTGTTTGTTTAATAGATTGCTTGTTAAATATGTTCATGAACATATATAGCTAGTTAAGGCTTGTTTGTATAAAGCTCGATAAGCATTAAACGAACCAAACATGAACCGAGCATGAACCAAACATGAACACCCTTAAATTAAACGAATCAAACATGCTCACAAATAATAAAGCTCAAATCAAACATGAACCGAACTTGAACAAGCTAATGATAAACGAACTAAAACATAAACATTCCCATACTCGGCTCGGCTCGGTTCGTTTGTAGCCCTAAAAGCTGCTATGGAGAAGATAACTTTATTGAAAGCTGTTGAAGAAAACAGCTTCCTAGCACAAAAAAAAAAAAAAATTGTTCCAAATAAAAATTTTGATTACAATCTGAAAAGCAAAGTATTAACAAATCTCTCCCAAATGAAACCCTAATTAGAAATATAGTTTGACCTTTTAGTTTTCTCAAATATAATCATTTTAATTTCATAAATTCATCTCTTGTTTTTCATAAATTCACTCATATCTTTATTTTACCTTATTATTTAAAAATTATGAAAAAATACTAATTTTAACATTTAAAAGTACAATATGCAATTAAAATATTGCATTATCCTTCACATCATTTAATAAAATTTTAAGAACAACTTGCGTCTCGCATTATGCTTCTATAGGTTTCTCGAAGGTGTAAAGGAAATATGAACCATCCAAGTCCACAAATGAACGGCTGTGATTTTCCCAAACGAAGTTGACTCATTGCTCTGCACAGTTGTGTCAATCTCTGAAGCCTATCTAATTTTCAACCTCTCATTATCTTTTAAAATTATTATCTGTCAACCAAAATTTATTTCATGTGCTGCCCCTAATTGATTGATTGCGTTGAAAGGAAGCCATTGTAGCTATTTGTTTGCACACAATTAATTAAATATTAAATAATTATTATGCTTTCAAAATACAGTATCATGATCTTTAGGAGGAAATGTTCTATTTATTGATGATGTTATTATTTTATGTGATGCATGGATAATTTTATCTATTTCAATTGTGAGCAAGAGAATTTTCATATATTTCAATAGCGGTGTCAATTATTGACTTGACTCTATAACTCGACCTGGAAAACGGGTCAGATTCGAGTTAAACGGGTCGAATTTGGGTTCCAATTTATGACCCATTTGAAAAATTAGATTGAGTTCGGGTCAACATGCTAACCCAAATTTGACTTAAACTCTAGCTGCCCACCCGCGTTCCTACGTACTCGCGCAGGGTTCATCGCTTCTCTGCGCTGCCTGAACATCCACATCATACCCAAACTCGCTCATGCAACTGCACTCGCTTTGCCCGCAGTTAGCGCTCGCACCCAGGGTCCCGCCACCCGGGCTAGCACCCTACACCCATGCTTGAACCTGACACTCGTGCTCGTGCCTCTCCCTTGCCCGCTTGCATTGTGCACCTTACACACTCACTCACCCCTAGCCTGCACCCTTGATCGCTTGTTGACCCTGCTCATAAACCAAGTTAGCTGGTTCGTTCCGTATGAATTCTTGACTCGTTTGTTTAATTTGATTGAGTTTGAGTTATATTAGTTGAAGGCGGGTGACTAAAACTCGATCCAAAAATCAATTTTGACATTCCTATATTTCAATATATAATATATTATTCCAAAGGCCCCGTTATTTTTTCTATTGTTCAAATTTTCGTGCAAAAGATTATGATATCTTATTCTGTAAGTGTAAGATTTTTTGCTTGAAACTAAGATCTAAAACAAAAGGTACCATTTTAAATTTTATAGGACATAACAACTTTAAAACAGAAAGAAAAAAAAAAAAAAACTTTAAAACAGAAAGCTATAATCTTAGATATTACACTTATCTTAGAATGAATCTAACTGTTCTAATGCTCATTTGGATTAAAATATTAAGAACTAATTTGTTCTATTATTTGATTTGATGTTTCAATAAAAATTTCTTCTAAGTAAATTTTTTTGCCTTTTCGGCTTTATTTGAGAGAACTCCATTTTATTTTTCACATCACAGTCATTATTTTTTATTTGATCATTATTTTCAAAAAAAACAAAAGCACTAAAAAGCTAATTTTTACAACATCTTTAAAATTTAGTTATTCTAAAGCAAATTTATAAAACAGTCAAAAAATTGTCATAAATAAAATCTTAATAGTAAATCCTCAAAATAATCTCACGACTATTGATAAATGCTCAATTTAGATTTCGTTTCTGACAACTTTTTATTGCTTTTTAAAACAACTTTCTAATATACAAATCACAATTTTACAGTTTTTAATTAGAAGCTGTACCAAAGTCATCCCAAACGAAGACTTAGGTTTCGTTTGGGACGGCTTTCTTTCTGCTTCTTAAAGCGACTTTCTAGTACAACTATTATATTTTTTGTACTAAAAAGCCTCTTTACGAAGCAGTAAGAAAGCGGTCACAAACGAAGCCTTAGTATCTAAATTATTAAAAATTATCCAATTCACTATAATTGAAAAGGTACAAAAAATAAACACAAATGTCAACTCTGTAGACTATAAATAGGAGCTGCTTCTCGTGTTGGCTTCTAGATTCACTCCTAAAAACCCACCTCATGCTGACGTACTGCTTACGTAAATTATCTATTAAACCATTCTGCATATAATTATAAACTAATTATCCATTGATTAGCGCGATTTTGGTATTAGCAAATCCCTAATCTCCCGGTCACCTACGTCTACGACCCACTTCTCTCTTAATCACGCGTTAATGACAAATTTTATGAAATAAATCACTGTTATGAATTTCGTTAAGGGATTGTTTGATTTGTTTAACAAGGAATGCTCAACTAAACTTCATAATTAATCTAAATTGTAGAAATAGATAAGCACAACTTGAACGGAAGAAAGGAAAAGAAAATAAAGTGAATTAATAAAAAGAGTACATTACATGATGTATATATGTAGATAAAATGTCCAATAATCTAAAGCCACATTATTTAAGCAGAGAAAAATACAGTTTTATAATTATTTATTTGTGTGGTCTAGTATAAATAAATTTATTTGACAGCAAGATCATTTTATTATAGCAACGCTGCGTGTGATAATTGGTATGCCTTCCAAATGAGCCAAAATAAAACATCAAAGATAGTAAAAAAATTTGAGATTAATCGGAGGATCATATCATGATCTCATAATTTTATGAGTTTATAATCAAAATGAGCAGCTTGATGATAGGAATTCATGGAATCTAATATTACTCTGTTCTACTGCATTGAAGTACTTAAATACTGAATATATGATCTACGATCAAAGGATTTGATATGCGTTATCGGATGGAGAGTTATGAAATTTTCACTAAATTTATCAAAATTCTCACTATACAAGTACTATAAATAAACTATGGTTCTTTACATAGGGTAACTTAGGCTTGAATTGGGATAGAGCTTGAAGATCAAAATAACTATAGAGTTCTACTTGATGTTCAACACTGACAATCACCGCTTGTCATAATCATCATTTGGCTATTGCCATCTCATCTTTGTCACCTGAATATCATTATATATATGTTATCATCTAATGCTGCCTATTAGTATGAATTTTGTTAGTCTCACTTGTTGGGCCTATTAGTTAGATGAAGTTGCTTTGACATAGGAAAATTTTATGTGATGATTCTTATTATTTGGTTTGACATTTTTTATCCTTCTCATTTTAAAATTTTTATTAATATTCATTGCATTATATTTTATCTTACTTTATTGGAATTTGACTATATGATTAGTCAAATTGCTCATGATTTATCAATATTAAAATGATAATGAAAAATATATCTTTTGAAAATATAAAGTATAAACTCTTAGCCTTGTTAGAAGATTTATCAATATTATATTTTATGAACCATTTTAATTCCTTTTGCTGAAATAATTTTAACCCTTTTGCTACTCATATATTAATTTTTAATTTAATTTAAATTTATACTTAATTCAAAATCCCTCGAAAATAAGCACTTACTTTATTTTCATTAAAATTTCTAACTTGCAAGTAACCGCTTGCTAAATGTAAGTAACTCCCTTCCATGCCGGGTACCGTCCGACACGAACCGGGTTTACAGCGGTACGGAAACACCCGTAACACGTGGTCCAATCCACGCGGTTTCGTTCACCGCCGTATTAAATGCGAAAGCCAACCTCTTCTTCCCCTTTATAACGAACTCACACTCCGAGCTCTCTTCCTCGCAAAATCCCGACGCGCTCTCTCTTTCTCTCTCGCAATAGTCGACTTGAATGCTCTAATCGGAACCCCAAATCGCCCTCGCAGATTACTCCCATGGCGGATAACTCCTCCAGCATCGATGCGTGGGCTTACCGCCCAGTCTTTCCCGATTCCGCGAGCTGGATCACCGATGCCTTTGTACGAGAGAACGAAGTCTTAACCAAAGCGCTTCAGATCTCCCTCTCTGACGATTCTTCCGCTTCTGAAACCCTTTCCTCCGCCGCGTACCTCCCGCCGCAGCCTCCCCTCATGGCCCCCCTTTATAACTAACTCACACTCCGAGCTCTCTTCCTCGCAAAATCCCGACGCGCTCTCTCTTTCTCTCTCGCAATAGTCGACTTGAATGCTCTAATCGGAACCCTAATTCGCCCTCGCAGATTACCCCATGGCGGATAACTCCTCCAGCATCGATGCGTGGGCTTACCGCCCAGTCTTTGCCGATTCCGCGAGCTGGATCACCGATGCCTTTGTACGGGAGAACGAAGTCTTAACCAAAGCGCTTCAGATCTCCCTCTCTGACGATTCTTCCGCTTCTGAAACCCTTTCCTCCGCCGCGTACCTCCCGCCGCAGCCTCCCCTCATGGCCCCGTCTCGCAATCCGATCTCGTGCTCGCCAGCGAAGAAGATCACGAAGAGGAAATCGCGCGCGTCGAAGAGGTCGCCGACGACCTACATCAACGCCGATCCGGCGAACTTCCGGCGGATGGTTCAGGAAGTGACCGGGATACGGTTGGGGGAGGGCGGGATGCCGGTGGAAGCGGTGGTCAGGCCGGAGCCTCAGAGGAGTGGGATGGGTCGGGCGGGTCAGGCTCAGGGGTACTTGCCCACCCTTGACACGTCGGCCCTGCTTCTCGACCGGGCGGGCATCGTCGGGCCGGCTTCTGCTGGTTGCGGCTCGTTTGGGCCGGTGGTGGATAGCCCGGTTTTTGATTTTGAACCGTTTCCAATCTTCCCTACTCTGGAGTCATGGGGGATGTAAGAAAATTTATATAAAAAAAAAAAAAAAGTTTTTTTTTTAAGTTTTTTAACAAGCGTCTGATGCGGATCAGATGGACAGCGTACTGTACATCGCGTGAAACGTTTTTCCCTAGTGTGGAAACTGCGTTGGGAAGGCTTGTTTATTACTTTTCTTTATCAGCTGCTGCTACGTTTTTTTGGCCTTTATTGAATTTTAATAATAAATAGTTGTTTTTTTTTTTTCATTTTATTGGTGATACTAAGACGTTAAACTAAATATTTCTCTACCGCCGCGAATATTCCAGGACGCAACAATTGGTAATCTAAAAAAGTAAGTGTCACAAGAAAGGTTCTTAGGGTCTGTTTTGTAACAATTTCTCACTGACTTTAACTAAAATTATGTTTATCTATTAATTTCTTAATATTTTTGGGCTGTTTTTGGATAATTTGTATGATGGAAAGTTGCATTTTACAATTGAAATTATTAATGTGTTGTATTTTTAAGAAAATAATTATTAGAATTTTTCAAATAAAATATATTTATATCATTCAGAGAAATAATAATAATAATAGTTTTGACTTCATTTGGGACAGTTGCTTTACTGCTTCTTAAAATAATATTTTAGTATAAATTAAAAATTTTGCACCGAAAAGTCGGTCTAGAAAATAATAAAAAAGCTATATCAAATAAAAGCTTTGTTTGGGACAGCTTTTTTGCTACTTAATAAAATTGCTTTTTTAGTACAAAAATTTCTAATTAAAGAAATTTTTGTACAAGAAAGTCGTTTTAGAAAGCAACAAAAAAGCTGCTCCAAATGAAACCAAGTCTTAATAAAAAAGTTCATTTTTAATACTTACAAACAATCCCTTTTAGGTTAATTCTATCTTTCTTAACGTAGGTCGAATCTATTATATATACTCTTCTAATAGAGTAATCAGAAGGCTGATGTTTTATGTAACCAAATCATCTAAGATTACTCTCTCTAATCTTGTATGTCACTAGAGTCACTCGCATCTTTTCATTTATATACTCATTTCACAATAATATTTAAAAAAATTAGTCATGATCATCCCAAGCTAATAATTGATTTTAGTTCACAAAATAATTCCTACAAGATAAGATTTTTTGTTTTTTGTTTTTGCATTAATTGTTTAATCTTTTCGATTAATTAAATATTATAACTAATAAGTGTGGTTTCTCGTAGGGCTGCAAACGAACCGAGCCGAGCCGAGTATGTGAGTGTTCATGTTTGTGTTCATTTAATATCAGCTTGTTCAAGTTTGGTTCATGTTTGTTCGAGCTTTATTGTTTGTGTTCATGTTTGGTTCATTTAAATTAATGAGTGTTCATGTTCAATTCATGTTCGTTTGTTTAATGTTTATCGAAATTGTTCGCGAACATATTTAACGAATTTTTTTTTTGGGATTTTTGGGCCAAAAATAGAAAAAAGGAGTTTTATCCAGCTGGTGGGCCGCACTTGAGGCGGTGGATTAAACCGGCCCTCGCCGCCGAGTCCTGAAACGTGACGAAGACATGGCATTGAATACGCGGCTGCTTCACGCGGATCGGAGCCTTATTTTTGGCGGACGCGGCAAACGCAGGCAAGCCGGCACGGCGGCCGGCGCAACTGCCGCGGGCGGCCAGGGGAAGGCCGCGGAGCAGCCCGCAAGCGGCTAGGCGGGCCCGGAACGAGCGGGGCCAGCTGGTCCCCCGCGCAGCGGCGGCGCTCGGTCCCTTCGGATCCATTTCGTCCCCGAAAAGCACAAATTCGAACGTTTTCTGGGGTCCCTCGGACACGTTTTTTCGAACGTTTCGGACTCAATTTAGACACTTTCGGTACTCATGCGGGCCTCCTATGATCAAGTTTGAGCAAGCTTTAATTTTTGAAAAGCACATTTATTATGCATTTCGTCTTAAAACAAATGTCGACGTATGTACTTTACGGAATTCCTGGAGCTTCGAACAATCCAAAAATAGGGGGGCACTGATATCGTCATGCAAATATTTATCTTGATCAGGCACGAATCTCGAGGCAAAAAGCTAGCCGGAAACTTCAAAAATTAATCTGGGAGCACGCTGAACTCCGATTTCACGAAACTTATAGTCAACTGAGCGTCTCGGAATAACAAACCCAACGACACCAAATTCAACCCAATCCGAGCCTAAATGGTCCAAATCAAGGACCCGAACGCTGTTGGTAGGTTCAAACAGCAATTTGAGTTACTAAAGGTCTCAACATTTTGCGAGCTTATATTCGAATTCGTACGCACTCGACGAGACGAATCCAACGAGACCAAGTTTGTCGAATTCCACACATCATTAAGCACCTTCAAATATCCAAGAACTGTGCGATGATCAAAGGATTCGACTATCGGCCATCATTCCAACCAACTCCCAATTCGCCATGATCTCACGCCTATTACGGCTAATGCCACTCCAGAAAACTATAAATAAAGCCCTCATTTCTACAACAAAGGGGGTCAAGTGAAGAGAGAGAAGAAGAAGAGAAGAAGGGAGAGGTAGAAAGAGGAAAAGGAGAATTCCTCAACTCCTACCACCGCCGAGCTTCTTCTTGCCGAGCTGAAAGGACGCCGGAACTCTGCGGATTTTTGGGAAACGCTGGGAATTTGTAGAACTTTGTACTTTGTGCAGAAGTTGATTGAAATTGATCGTCTTGATTTGTCAAGAACGAATCAACCTTTGTACTTCAAACAAACTAGTGGGAACTTTGCAACTGGGCGAGGCCCGCTAGTTTTTTCCACTCTTTTGGGTTTTCCACGTAAAAGACTGTGTGTTCACTTTCTCTTTTCTGTTTGTGGCGGAATACTCGTGCAACACTAGACGAAATTTTCCTAACTCTACTGCCGCGTATATTCTAGCACGCAACAGATATGTTCATGAACGTGTTTTGCTTGATAGTTTAG